CAAAAACTCCTGGAATTAGGGGAAAGGCCTCAGCCACGGCTGCTTCCTTTGGGTTGTGAGGGCGATGGTGGAAGAAGGCGATTTTATTCTGTTCTAAGTGGACCCCTGGGAACGAGGTGTTTTGAACATCATGGTGTTAGACTAACATCATAGTCTCCTCAACTCTAGCGGGCAAATCAGTCTTTGTCACACTTCCTTGGGCCCCTAAAAGGCCGTGCACACTGAAGAAGGCCCTCGCGCTGGTAGTAAAAATAACAGTAATTGCAAACTCCTTTATAGTGATTAGAACGTGCAAGGAACATTCCAGGGGCTTTATGTCAAATAATGTAGTCCTCACCACAATAAGAGGCAGGTTCTATTATTACCCCTTTATACTTTGGTGGAGGTGTTTGGGCACAGGAGGGACTTTGAAAGGGATGGATCTCCATTTCCTGGAGCATGAGACAGGTGTGGGGGTGATGGGGCAGAGTGGTCGGGGCCTGCGAGCACCAGCCTGCTTTCACCATGGAAAGGGAGGAGGCAGCTGGAGAGACGGCCCAGAATGTTGGTGGATAATCCTGTGCTTTGCGTCTTCATTTAACACTTCCCAGGAGAGGCCACTGGGGGTGGAATGGGCTGGGGCAGGTGCCTACTCCTACCCCGAGGCTTGCAGTCTAGCAGGGAGGGGACCCAGGAGCAGGCTGACTGTATGGAGGGGCTTGGCCAAGGCACAGAGCCAGCTGGGGTGGGGAGAGGCCAGTGTTGCGAAGGGCAGGAGGTGAAGCTCGAGGCAAGGCCCCTGCAGACACTCCCAGGGTGTGGTCACACCTGAATGCCAAGACCCCTCAGGCTGCACCGGGGACCATGGACTGCAAGGGATGCACTGGGGCCTAGAGGCCCCCCATGCCGACCACAGGTGATGGTGGCCTGAAAGGGGAGGGGTCGAGAGGAGAGGGAGGCAGAATCAAGGGAGTTTTCTGACTCAGTGCTTAAAGAAGTCAGGAGGGGTGTCAAGGGTGACCACGGGTTTGGCTCTGAACTCCAGGGTGGATTTATGATGTCATCTCTGAGACAGACATGACATGAGCAGGTCTGTGGGAGAAGGATTTCAGCTTGGGTGACATTTTGTGCCTCTGGGTTAACCGTGTGGGCAAATAGCTTTATCATGTGTCCCAGCTTCTTCCATAAATTTGAGGTTGCAGAGGGATCGGAGGTCTCGGTATGTCAGCGGTGGGGTGGAGACAAGATCCGGGGCTGGGGACAGAACTGTCTGGCCCGGAAGGTGACGCGGCCACTTCCTTTTAAGAATCAGGGCATGGAGGTCTCTTTAAGAGGCTTAGCCAGGGACTGCAAGCCCTGTGAACAAGCTTCGGCTGCCCCCGCTCCTCTGCCCTGAGGAGGGGCCTTGGCGCTCCACCCCTTTACCAGCCTGTCTCTGCTGAGCCCTCCAGCCTGCGAACAGCGTCGACAGGCATAATTGTTTCCGGGTAACTGGGCACAGTGCAACACACATTCATGCACACGATCTCAGTCACGCCTCCCCTAACCCCGGCGGTGCTACTGTCACCGCATTTTAAAGATGAGGACAGAAAGGCGCAGAGAGGCTGGGAGACTCCCTGCCGTCACACGGACATTCGCTTGTCTCTGTATCCTCACCGGATCCTGCCGGTGTGACTCACGGAGGCTGGGGAGGCTGCTGTCAAGCAGATGTTGGCATGAGGACAGATAGCGCTCCATGGAGTGGAGGTTCAGGGGCAAGGATGGGAAGGAAGGAGCTGCAGGACCCCAAGAAGGGGCTATGCAACCCTAACACATAACTCCTGACCCTGGGGCAGGAGGCCAAGTCCAGCAGACAGATCCTCAGGGCCCCTCGCCTGAGTCTTACACAATCTGAAGTCAGAAGGGACAAGTCTCCCCTTCTCAGGTCAACCTGGACTCTGCTTTTGGTCCAGAAGCCACTGGGAGCAGGTGCAACCTGGCTTCTCTCTCCTTGGACAGGAAGGTGAAAACACAACAGCTTTTCTGCAACTCACTGCTAGGTCTGGCACCTGCGGCTTTCAGACATCTCCAGCCACCCTCTTTGCCACCGAAAATCCCCGTGAAAGAAGACAGGAGGAAGACTGTCATCCGGAGCCTGCAGCTCTGCGGAACACCCTCAGCTAGTGCGCGGCAGCGGCGGGGTCATCTCCTGGGGCCTGAGGTGGGCACCACCTCTGCCCATGAATTAGTTCAGGGGTCTCCATCCAACAAGACACACGACTTCAGTACTTCACAATAGGATTCAAATGGAACAAATTCTTTTTTCCTCCCTTATCACTTTGCACACATGAAATCTATTTTAATTGGCTTTCAATATATAATAATAAAAAAATCCCACTGATTGCTCCCCACCAAGATTTATCTTGTAAGTTTCTTAAGAAAACCTATACGTGCTCAATGCATTTAAATAACACTCATTAAAGGGAAGTGCATGCAGCGGCATCTCTAGTCACAGATGAGAGACAATCGCTTGACCTATTGCAAATCAAAAAGCATTTCCACACCACCTTTATTTTTCAATTGGTTAAGTTTTAAATTAAAGTTCTAACGCCTTTTTTTTTTTTTTTTTTTGGAAGGCAGACTCACCAACATAGCCCCAACAGAAATTTCAGCTCAGTCGATTGGAAGATAATTACAAGACACAAAATGTGAAATTTTAAATCACGGCACTAATGAAGTCTAAAAATACCGGTGGCCCATCCCTCTGGCTGGTGAGACCTGCTCTTGGTGGAGAGGATCTCTCCGTAATTACTCAACCCTGTGAGAGGCCAGGTTGTCACGTCAAACAATAGTAGGGAAAATGGAGGGACTTTAATGAGCTAGATCGCAAGGAGTCCTATGGTGGATCTTATTATTATAATGCTGGATGAGGTTTCAAAGAGAGAACAGGAGAAAAGGAAAATTCTTTTTTTTCTGAGCGGAGTTCTGACTAGTGTCGGTGGGTCCCGCAGGCCTCCGCGCCCGCTGTCTGTCATCTCCGAGTGTGAAATCAATTGAGCTTCTAAGACGTAAAATCCCTAGGGGCAAAATTAAAAGTGACCCAAATCCAGGTCCACGTGGTTTTGTCAGGAATCTGATCCTCACATGGCAAGTTTCAAAGATTTGGTTTCAAAATTCGGATTTCTTATTTTAAAAAATATGAAGTTGTTTGACATTAGCTATGACAGACAAATTATAGCTTTAGCAATAAAGGCTTTTAAGATTAGAAATGAAAGGAGAAATTATTAAAAAAAAAAAAATAAAGAACCACCCAGGCTTGAGTTTGGAGGCATTTGTGTGTGCCTGCTTCGTCTTTCTTCACTGCAAACATAAGGGGATAAATCAGCTGACGAGGGCCGTCAGCTGACAAGAGTTACATGTAATTTCTGGGGAGCAGCCGGCATGCAGGCTTTCCCAGCCAGCACGGGGGAGGGTCACCAGCTGTCAGTGGCTGAGCCCATGGGATCTCCCTGCCTGGTGGACTCTCCCCAGACCCACCCATTCCAGGCCCTCACCTAGCACTGGACTCTACCCCATTGGGGCTGGAAGAGGGGACCCCATCCCCCTGCTGTCTGTGGGCGCCGGCCCACCACAGAGGATGGTTCACATCCTCTGGCCCCACACAGATTTTTTTTTACGGGAAAGAGTGTAACCAAAACAATGCAAACGTAGAATCAATTTAGTCAATGTTTTTTTAAAAAAAGATCTTAAACAAAGCAAGAGTTTACCAGAATTTAGAAGTAATTTTCTATAATTTTGTCATTTAAAACTAGGGCTGATTTCCAAAACAAAGGCAGTCAGGGCGCAATCAGACTGGGAACGAAACCCAACGGAGATCTAGACTCGGCTTTGTGGCTGGGTTGCTTGACAAGGCCTGAAAATTGCTCGAAAGGATAAAGACAGAGATTCCTGAGCGCAGGCGGATCAAGGATGGCTAGTGGGCGGCGTGCTCTGCTGAGCGGGGGCCCGGACTGTCTCCCGGCTGCAGCAGGGAGGCTGAGAAGCTGTGCTTAGAGGCCTGCACACTGCCCAGGACCACCTGCTGTCCCCTCTCCAGGGAGGCCGGGAGAGCCCAGAGGGGTCTCCATCTTCTGGAGCTCAAAGGGACAGCAAGTCTGCAGCAGAAGACCCCTGCTCCCTGCACCAGCCTCTTGTCTGTGGCCCTGGTCCTCCTGGCCCCTCTGCATTCCTGCTGGACAGACCCCCTCAGAGAGATGCCAGGGCCTAGGCCTAAACACTTTGACCAAACCCTCAGGCTGGGGGCTCTGTTCTTGAGGATCTGCCTTGGAATTCAGGGGAATGGAAACTGCCAAGGGGCTGAAGAGGGGGGTTTACTGGAGTCTGAGGCCAAGTGTCCTATTCCATCCACTGCCCCGCCCCCCGCCCCGGTCTCCTCAGCCCAGCTATCCGGCATGGAGTCTTCCTTGGGTCTTTAAACTCAAAACACAACTGGTTCAGGATGGTCTGAGCTTCTCCTGTGCCTCAGCCAATGCCCCGGGGCCGCTGTCATCTGACAGCACAGCAGGGGCGCCTTTCTGGGGAGGGACACAGACAGTTCATGTTCTCACTGTGCCCAGGAGTGGGAAATGGAGGCCCCCCCTGCAAACACGTCTCTCCTGGAGCCCTAAGAAGAGCAGACGCCTCTTGCTCATCCTGCACTTGGCCTGGCTTTGGGGTCAGAAGTGAGGGTGGCCGGGCTTGGGCCGGGGTGGAAGGACCCTGGGCGGTGCAGGCTCTCCCCTCCCCTCCTCTTCTTGCCCACTCACAATTCCCGCTTTCCTCGTCCCGCCCTCCACCTTCCTTCTGCCTCATGTCTGAGTCCGGGCTTAGGTGGTCTTGGGCAGGGGGAGGTCCTCCTGCAGCCCTGGGCTTGGGGGCAGTGAAGGGGTAGCTGGAGAGCGCAGGGCAGCGGGACCCACACTGCTGGCCATGCTATGTCTTAGTGACCACGCGGGGAGGTACAGACGCGGGGACACAGGGGGCTCGTGGGCAGCAGGACTTACCTTTGGGGTGCCCGGGGTCTGTGAACTCATACTTCCCCACGCCAATGGTCCTCAGCATCTGCAGCCCGTGGGCCGAGTCGGTCGTGGGGGGCCCATTGGTGGCGGGGGCACCGCTGGGGAGAGTGGTAGACGGCTGGGCCGGTGGTGGTGGCGGCATCAGGGGCCCTGCCATGTGGCCGTTGCCCACGGCGGTGGGTCCCGGGCGGGCCACCTGCCCCACACCGGGCAGGGTGGACACGGCCAGGGGTTGTGGGCTGGCATACAGGGCCTGGGCGGGCATGTTGACCACCACGCTGCTCAGTGGCTGAGAGGGCGGCTGTGGGAGCGAGTAGTGGCCTGGCATCAGCGGGAGCTGGGGCCCCACATGGGGAGGCAGTGAGGGGGTCACCCCAATGACCGGGGCCTGGACGTTCACAGCCGGGCTGAAGGTGGGAGGCTGGGCCACTCCATAGGAGTGTGCGATCAGGGCGGGCTGGCTCCCGGCGGCCACCGTGGTCACCCACGGCCCTGTGCCTGAAAGGGAGATGGAAGACATGTCATCTGCCGGTTGCACACTCACTCAACAAACACCGACTGTCCCAGGCCCTGGACTGGGTGCTGGGCTCCCAGAGGTGCACAAGGAGCCAGCCTCCAGGGACTCACAGATTTAGTACGCGCTTCAGCAGCACCGGATACGTGTATTTGGGGTGGATGAGCAGATGACATGGGCTCAGAGGAGGAAGCACCACCTGCCTGGGAGGGGCTGAGAGGCAACCAACAGAACACAGCAGAGACCTTTAAGTAGACCCGAGTTGAAATCCAAGTACGACCACTCACTAATGAAGGGCCCGGGGCAAGTTGCTTGTCTTCTCTGAGCCTCATTCATCCTGTCTGTTAAATGGAGCTAGCAACTTCTGCTCATAGGTCTCCTGGGAAGACCTGGATGAGGAAAATATATTTGAAAAAACAAAAACACAGCAAACCAGCAGAGTGTGTGGATGTGTGAAATGTTCTATAAATGTGTTTTTCCTTCCCTTCTGGAGAATCGTCATCTCCAGGGTAGAAAATGGCGTTGTGTAGATGCAGGTGTTTGCTAGGCAAGGGAGAGCACCAGGGCCTCCAGCTGTGCAAAGGCCCTGTGGTTCGGCAGGTGGGGGGCTGGTGTGGTGGCCGTGGCAGAGGCCAGCGGGGGCTGCTGTCCAGGGCTTGCTGGGGGTGGGGGCAGGCTTTGTACTAAGCAACCTCCATGGCCAGCCCTGGGGGAAACAAGATAAGTCTGTTGTGATCTTTGCGGAGATTTTGGCTGAACAAGGGGGTATGATACCTCCTGAGACTCTGATAATATAAGATGAAAGTCCAGCTGTGCCCAGGCCCCCTGAGCTGTGCTGACATTGTGAGGACACAGCGGACTTGTGAGTGAGGCAGATCATCTCCTGCGGATCAGATCCTGCGGCAGCGACTGCCAGGCCAGGACCTCTCAATGAGTCTGAGTCTAGGTCTCCCGTTCCTAGATGCCATCTTGGTTTTCACCATGTCTCTGGGGAGGGGAACCGAGGAGAGAGAACAGGGGTCTGGGGCCCACTGAGGAACACCAGCCACAGAGGCTGGAGGAGGGGCTGGGGGCTCCCTCCCAGCAGTAAGGCTGAGGGGCAGGGCAGGAGCCAAGATGGCTAGGTGCTGATGGCGCTTCCTGAGGAGTCAGCCAGAGGAAGGCCCACGGGGTGTGGTGGTGGACAGCCCGGCTCAGAGTCGGACGGACAGCACTTCTGTCTCTGCCCTGCCTCCACTAGCTGAGCGGCCTTGGGCGCAAGCTTCCCCTGAGTCAGTGCCCTTACTGCAATGGGATCCAGGGATACCGCCTCACAGGGCTGCAGCGAGCATGCAGTTGACACACAGACTGGGGACATAACGAATGTGCAACGAGAGGCTGGAGAAAACCAGAAGCCGACAAAAGTCGGTAAGGGGGGTTGACCCCCTTTTGGCAGCTAAGGGGATGTCCCTCCAGCCTAAGAGGAGGAGGAGTTGGAGGAGGATCCTGGTGAGCCAAGGACAGGCACATCGTCCTAGGTTCCCTTCCCTCCAGGATTCTCCAGGGAGCCTGGAAAAAGAAGCTGAGAGCCCAGCAGGCGAGAACTCAGCTCACTGGAGGAGGCACAGAGGTGCATGGAGATGCTGGATTTACAGGCCAGGGAATGGCCCCGAGGATGCTGGAGGCCTGAAGGACGTGTACCAAGCCCCGTGCACCACTTTATCACGGTCTGGATGACCATGCGGAGGACAGTCTGACCAGTGTGCAGCTGACCTTCTTTGGGGAGGGTTAGGTGCGGCTGAGCAGTAAAAGCAGGAATCTGAGGTCCCAGGAGTCACATGGGAAGCTGCCAGTGAGGCTTTGCCCTTGGGGGTCCCACACCCAGCTGCCCAAGCCAGCTTGGGAGGAGAGGGACAGGGGTCAGAGTAGTCGCCGTGACAGTCTTGGGGTCTGACTGTCGAGTCAGCCTGTGCTGGGCCTACTGGCAGGCGAGAAGTGACCCAAGGCTGCACGAGGAGAGGAGATGGGTTGAGAAAGGGAGGTTGGTCAGACCACATGTGGGGTCTTTGTGTTGGGTTCTAGCTCCTGAGGCGGGCAGAGAGAGGGGCCATTCCCTGGAGGCAGAGAGTCCAGAAACCATGGGCCCTGGGACATGACTGAAGGACTTGGGGGGATTTCCTGCAGGAGACACGGAGGGGTGCAGGGTTATGATGTGCAGGGCCATGCAGACCTGTTCTGCATATCCTAAGGGGAGGTCTGGGCCATGGGCGGTCACAGAGAGGGCTGCTGTTTGGTCAAAGCTGTCCAGAGAAGCAAGGGGTGCTGTAGGAGGTGGTGAACCCCCAGTCTCAGGGGTGTAGAACATTACAGTTCTCAAAACCTCACAGGAAGATGTGACGAGAGAAATTTGTTATGAATCAGAGTACTGAGATTTGGGAATGACTATTCAAAATTGCCTGAAGCAGATACAAAGTCACTCCTATAATGTCACTTGCACACTCTTGCTCTCCCACATGCTTCCTTAAGTAGCAGAGACACAGGGAATTCCACAGACTCCAGAGCAGTCGTGGGTCAAGACCTTCTGAGGAGCTGGGGTTCCCAAGGCCTTTAACACCCCCCGCCCCCCGAAGCTCTGGTGTTTGTTCTCTGACCCCAACATGTACTCACCTGGATTGTCGCTCTCCCTCATCTGTTTGGAGGGTGGCTCATCCGTGTCCCAGGGTGTGGACTGATTGATGGGCGTCTGCCCCCACCGGATGCTGGTTGTGAGTCCCTGGGACTGACTGTCCGCCTTGGAGATGCCGGGGGCCTGGGGAGAAGCAGAGCAGGAGGGTGAGTACAGCTTGGCAAGGTCAATTCCTGGGGCCCCTCCCTGAACAGTACTCCCCCCTGAAACCGGGGGCCAGAGGCAGAGACCCAGCCCTACTGATTCCCTGAGGGGCAACACAGGGCAATTGGGGCAGTGGTAGCAGCTGTGGCCGCTGTTAAGCTCCTTTTTCCAGGAACACCCAGCCTAGTGACTTATCGGCCACCCTCTATGGCCACTCACTCCACCTGACCTATCACAAAGGACAGAGCAGTCCGTGCTGGGAGAAGTGACGGTCCCCCAGCCCTGAGATCAATAACACGCTGCAGCAACATTCCCGCGCATGTGTTGAGTGCCGACTGTGCGCTCGGCCCAGGCGCAGGGCCACTGTGTGGTTGGTTCTTTGACATTAAGAGGGCAGCTCTCCAAAGCTCCACCATCAGGGGTATCCCTCCACCGCACCAGCTTCTGAGGCCCCCAACATTCTCCTGCACAACATGGGGACGGAGGGAAGTGAAGCCTGAGGAAGGACAGCTCAGCTCCCGCCACCAGGTCACGTGGCAGGGCACACCATCACGGGACTCCGTGCTCCTTGTTGCAGGAAGGAGGCAGATTTCTGTCCCAGGATCTCACTCTCTAGTCTAGACTAATGAGAAAAGGAATCTCAGGGTGAAAACAAACATATAGACAGGCTGGTATCCTTGAGCTACAGCTCATGATGGAATATTATATAGTCATTAAAAATCATGTGTACCAGGCCTCCCCGGTGGCACAGTGGTTGAGCGCTGGGTTGCAAAGCTGCCTGCAGCCTCTGCAGCACCGGTTCGATCCCAGACTGCTCCCCAGCCACCAGAGGAGGGTCCCACATGGCGCGCAGACCCCTCCTGCCGCCCGCTGCTCCCCTCAGCCTCTGCAGCACTGGTTCGATCCCAGACTGCTCCCCGGCCACCGGAGGAGGGTCCCACATGGCGCGCAGACCCCACATGGCGCGCAGACCCCTCCTGCCGCCCGCTGCTCCCCTCAGCAGTGTACTTCGGTCCTTCTGCCTGCTCTGCTCCCTGCTCTGGCTCTGGTGAATTCTCTCACCCTACCACGCTTCTGACTGTACCCAGTGCTTATATAAATAAATAAATAAATCTTAAAAAAAATATTTCTAATTCTTAAAAAAAAAAAATCATGTGTACCAATTCTTAATGAGGGGGTAAAATGTTTTCACTATAATGTTAAATGAGAAAAGCAGGACATGAAATGACATAAATATAAAAAATTCACAATGTAAAACAGTATGTGTGGTAAGGGAAAAATCCCAAATGTTAGTGCGGATGTTATTTTTGTCTGAGGGGATTATGGGCAACTTTTAGTCTCTTGTCTGCACTTTTCTGTATTTGCCAAATCTTGCACTATGGCCATTGCCATTATTTATAATACACACACAAAAAAATAAATCCAATAAATGTGTTGGGACTGGGATAACTGGGGTATGATGGGGGTAGGGGTCTCTGCAGAGGTGGTTTCAGGAATAACAACCACAGTTCCCAGGGGTGTAGCCAGAGCTCAACCAGGTTTCAGCTGAAGGGTGAGATGGGGTGTGGGCAGAGCTGGCTGCCCACAAGGGACAGTCACAGAAGGCCAAGCAGTCTTACAGGGCATCTGTAGGCCTCTCAGGGGAGAGCCATGGTGCTCTTGACTTTGAATAGAAGCCCACCCAGTGGCCCTGCTGGTGGAGGGCAGTGCCCCCTAGTGCTGGGCCTCTGATCAGCCAAACTCCTGGTCCTGGACAAGCGACCATGGAGGGAGGGCTGCTCTTACTGGGACTTTGGGGCACAAGGCAGATGACAAACAGTGCCTGCATTAGGGCCTGCTGGGAGGAGCAGAAGCTGCATCCCATTAGGACCTGCAGGCTGCACGGAGCTAATTGCATTAGGCTGCACTTTGTCTCTGGCCTGCATTTCAGACGATTTGCCTCTGTGAACAGAGCAGGAAACAAGGGAACAGGATGAATCTCCTGAGGAAAGAAAAATTCAGTGGCCAATCTTCCTTATCAGAGGCCCCGGTCCCATTTCTGGCTCTGGGACTGACGGGAGTCTGGGGTGGGCGAGGGGCTTGGGATTCAGCCACACTCACCAACAGTCACATGGAATGTGTGGGAACAGCACCCCTTCGGCCACTTTCTCTAAACAGCTTCCCAGCTGCCCTGTCTGCAGCCTGTTTCCAGGCTCTCCCGGGGCTGGCGGACTTGGAGGCAGAGATTACTCCACCCCAAATCAGAGACATCTCAGGGGCAAAGAAGCTGTGCGGTGTCCCATTCAGGACGCTGTTTGGGGTGAAATGCAGAGACCCGCACCCGCTTACACTGACAGGACAGAAACGCCTCTGCCAGTAGGGGGCGCTGCAACCCCTCTCTGCTACAGGGTTTCCCCGGCTTCCCAAGCCAGAGGCAGGCTGGGTTTTCAGGGTGTTTGTACGGCTACCATTTCTCTCCTGCTAAACCAGCCTGCATGCCCCGCCTGCTAGCACCACAGCGTGGGGAAGGGGCCTGAAGCTTGGAGGCCACTGGCCTGGACCTCATAGCTGCCAGTGCCACCAGGAGAGGTGTTTGGGGTCTCCACCTGGAGAGTGGATGACCAGATTCTAAACCCTAAAACTTCAGGAGTTCTAATTTTTACCCTAAAACTGTGGAGTTTCTGAATTGAAAAACTGCACTTTTTCAAGGGCTCAGGCCCTCGGTTCCACAGCACTCTGGCCGGCTTGCTGGCTTGCAAGTTGGTACTTTCAGTAAATAAGAACAGCCTTGCTCCGAGACAGGCTCAGCCAAGGCCCGGGGTGGGGGAACAAGACTCAGCGTGCCCTCAGGAGGTTGCTCTCCACGGAGGGGAGCACAGAGGCCACGGCGGACTCCAGGAAGAAACTGGGGGCTCTTGGTGGGGGGCGCTTGCTGGGCTGCCACAGGCCTGTGTCTTTCATGGAGATGACAAGCAAGCTCTTATGTCTGCAGTGAGAAGGAAACTGGTCTTTTTTATTTTCCTTTAGGAGACGTAAATCAAGCCCCTCTTATTCTACCTGGCCCTAGCATCTTCTAAAACTACCAGCAGCTTGCAGTTCAGGATTTGTTATTGATTTTATTAAAATAATGAACATTTCTTCCTCCACACCTTTCAGAAAAACATGGACATAGGCTGTCAAGGAGCGCAAGGGTGGGGCTGCCTGGGGATGGGAGTCAGCTCCGGCGTCCCCCACCCAGAGCCCCCAACCCCCCCTCCTCTGCCACGCCGCAAAGTGCTCCAGGTCTAAAGTAAACCCAAGGTCCCCAGTTCTGGAAGCTTCTAGGGGGCTGTATGTGGTGCTCCAGCTCTAAGCTCAGTGTCTACTAGCCTTCTCCCCATGGTCCAGCGTCCCCAGAAGTCCACCTCTCTGCCAAAAGCTCCCCAGGCCTTCCCAGGAAGAAGGCCAGGCCTCCCCGAGTCCCTCTCCTCCTGTGCCCTGACAAGGACACACCAGAGCAGCCATAGACACCAACTGGAACAGGCCGGCTGTGGGAGCCCTGTCCCCTGCCATCGTCCAGGACCTCAGCAAAGCCACTCAGACATTTGGCCTTTCCCCGCGTCCCTGGCCAGGCTTCTGCTACTGACATGATGCTGCTCGGCAGAGGCAGACAGGAGAGCCCCCTCCTGCCCGGCGCCGTGGAGTGGCCCTATCTGCCCATCACTGGGCCTGAGCAGGCTTCTCTCTGCTTCCCTTTAATGAGATGCTAATGGGATGCATCATTAAGGCAGCAGCTTTTAAACCCTGAGCTCTTGTAAATTTTCAAAGGTCACATTTTTATGGTGGCTGACAGCATCCTGCTTCTTTCAGCCACTGAAGAGCACTAAAGGCCCTGGTTCTTTATGGCTGAAACTCTCTGTGCGGCGGTGGCCTGGGCTGCAGCGCATGCTTGTCGGGGGCTGGGGACCCTCCGTGCCCTCCGTGCAGCAGGCCTCACAGTGCAGATGGGCTTGCTCTGTGGGCCTGCGGAGAGCCAGTCACAGACTACCGGGCCCGGTCCTTCTGAGGGAAGGTGCCGGGGCTTCAGAGGATAGAGAGTGGAAATATGCCCGGCAGAGGGGCCACTGGGCTGGCACCACTGGGCATCACTTTTCCTCCCACAGGGCTCCTTTGGCTCATGGCTGTGAACCTATGGGTGGGGCTAACCTGTGCACCAGGAGGGAGCACCTTATTCTACTTTGCAAGGTGCCATGGAGGCCAGGGGCACCCTGGTGGTCAGGGTAGTCTGAAAGATGCAGGACGAGACCCCCCTGGGGCCGGCACACCCTTTGCTTATTCTCAACCCTGTGCCTGCCACGCATCAGTCCTGGCACCCTGCCTTCCAGGACCACTTCTGAGCCTGTTCTGGTGGGTGAGGTCCATGGGGCAGGGACCTGGCATGGTGTCTGGTCCTGCAGGTGCAGACTGGCAGCGGGAGCATCCATCACTGTTGGCTGGACGAATGCACCGGTGCATGACATGGACTTGGGGAGAGTGAGCAACGTCAGGGAGCAGAAATGGGAAGGAGCTTGGTGTGCTAGGGACATGTGATGCAATGAGGTCTCCGCACGGAGCGGGGGTGGTAAGTACCCCCCAGGACAGGTTTTTGGGTTTTGCTCATGTGGTTCATGGGACTTCATGGACCCCTGTTCCCAGCCTGAATTTCAAGGGGCCAGAAAGAAGTGTGGACAGACACTACAACGATAAATCTGTGGCCTCTGGGAAGAGCACATGGCATTTATGGGCCTTTCAGTCCCCGTTTCATGATTGCTGCTGAACTTCAAGCAAGAAACTAATGGCGGCTAAAGCCCTACTTGGCTGGGGGAGGCTGGCTTGAGGCTCTCTCGCCCTCTTTAATGAGGCTGCCCTCTCGGCCCCCGGCCCCAGCCCGGCGCCCTTGGCCTCCACTTTGGAGCAGCACCATAATGTGCTCGGAGCCCAGCGAAATTTCTAATAATACTAACCAATGATGTGTTAAATTG